GAGAGAGAGAGAGAGAGAGAGAGAGAGAGAGAGAGAGAGAGAGAGAGAGAGAGAGAGAGAGAGAGAGAGAGAGAGTGGTGCCGGTTTCCCTGGTGGTGAGCCGCACCACACCACTCCCGGAATGTGCAAAATACATCACGTATCTCCCGCAAAAACAAGGGCAGATACAACCCTTCTCTCTGTCGCTTTTTTTTTTTTTTTTTTGCTTCTGACACAAACAAGCTTGGATTCAATCTCTCTCTCTCTCTCTCACTGTCCCTTTCTCCCCCCCTCTCTCTCTGTGTCGTATTCTTGCTCTGTCTCTCTCTCTCTGTGACAAAAATAAGATGGAGCGTACAGTCAGGTACGTTGTCTCTCTCTCTCTCTCTGTGTCGCGTTCTTGCTCTCTCTCTCTCTCTCTCTCTCTCTCTCTCTCTCTCTCTCTCTCTCTCTCTTTCTCTCTCTCTTTCTCTCTCTCTGCTGGAGCGCCAGGGGGGCGACAAAAGATATGGCGCGCGTCTCTCGCAAGAACAAAAAAAAAGTTTCGGAAACGACAAAAAAACGTTTCCCGCCATCTTTTTTCTTCTTGTTTTTATTTTTGTAATCAATCAATCAAGTACTCGTTTTTTCTATTTTTTTCCTCTGATGGATTGATTGATTGTTTGATTGATTGATTGATCAGCCATTTCCCTCCTCCTCGTTTCTCCTCCAATCGGTTTGATTGGTTGATTGATTGATTGATTGATTGAAAAGAAAAACGAGAGCGGGGCGATCTTTTTTTTCAATCAATTTATCAATCAATCAATCAATCTATCAACCAATCAGTCATTGAATCAATCGATCAATCAATAGATCCGATTGGTTGATTGATACATTGATTGGTTGGTTGGTTGATTGATTGATTGATTGACTAAAAAAAAACCAAAGCGATAGCGGCCCGCTCGCCCCCTTGCCCCCCTCCGTGGGGGCCACCCCCTTTCCTTCGCCCCTCGGGTTCGTCCACCTCCCCATTGTTATTATCCCTCCTTCCCCTGAGCGTTCGTCAAACCCCTCACCCGCCTTTTTTTTAAAATCAATCAATCAATCATTGATTGATTGATTGATCGGTTGATCGGTTGAGAGAGAGAGAGAGAGAGAGAGAGAGAGAGAGAGAGAGAGAGAGAGAGAGAGAGAGAGAGAGAGAGAAAGGAGGTGCTGCTCTTGCAACACCTGCAGTGCCTGTTGCGACTGCAGCAACTGCTGCAGCAGCAGCTCCAGCTGTTGCAGAAACTGCATCTCCTGCACAGACAGGGTGCTGCTGCATTTGCACCCCTTGCTGCAGCTGCAGCTACAATAGCTGCAGTTGCTGCTGCCGCTGCTGCAACACATGAAGCTGTTCCAGCTGCTCCTGCTGCAGCAGCACCTGTTGCAGTAGCACCTGCAGCCATTGCAGCTGCAGCTGCTGCATCTGCAGAAGCAGACCCCTCGTCCCACCCGTGAGGGCTACGGAATACCTACCCCCCAAATCCCGAGCCCGTCCCCCTGTTCCCCCCACGCCTTCCCCCCCGGCCTTCCCTCCCCTTCCCCCCCAATAAAAAGAAATTGAACTGAGAAATTGAACTGATGCGGGTGGCTAGATTTTTTTTGGGACCCTTTTAACACCCTTATCACACGTCACTATTAAAAAAAAAAACTAACACTGAAAAAAAAACAAGAGAAAAAGAGGCTGGTTGGGGAACTTTTCTCCAGCAATTTTTTATAATGGGACGTTTGATGTTCAATGTCCCTGTAATTTTTTGAAAGTTGTTTTCTGTCAGATAATGAAAGAAATAAAAAGAACAGTCGAAAGAAAAAGAAAAAAAGGCCCTTCAGGGTGGGCCAGTCCAGTGCGGCAGAGTGGAGAAGGGGACCAGCACATCTTTGTGTTGGCGTTTTGGATAAAGGCACAGCCTTTATCGGAGGCACCAGCAGCACTTGCGTGCGCGCTCGCTCGTGAGCACGCGTGCGCGCGCGCGCGCGCGCGCGCGCGCGAGAGAGAGAGAGAGAGAGAGAGAGAGAGAGAGAGAGAGAGAGAGAGAGAGAGAGAGAGAGAGAGAAAGAAGCAGTGTCTGCAGCAAGGGTTTGCACGACTGGATGCTGCAGGCACTGCTGCAGCAGTGGTTGCAGCAAAAGCTGCAGACACTCCATCAGCAGCTGCAAGCACTGCCTCTGCAGCAGTTGCAGCAGAAGCTCCTGCCACTGTTGCTGCAGCGGTCGCTGGAACCACTGCTGCAGAAGTTGCAGGCAGTGTTGCTGCAGCACTGCTTGCAGGGGAGAGAGAGAGAGAGAGAGAGAGAGAGAGAGAGAGAGAGAGA